GTCGTCCAATGTTTCCATTCATAAACCAAAGTTACATAGTCTCTTTTACAACATAACTTTGAGAATATATTCTAGTTTGCTTAGCTAAATGATCAGCACGATTATTTGCTTGCCTAGAAATTCTTAAGAATGTAAAATTACAAAGCTTATCTATTTTAAGAATGTCTTGAAGTTGAACACCATAAGCACAATATTTCACTCGTGATGATCCTACATACAAATTTCTGTCTTGTAGCAAAGTATACACATCACTTAGATCACCACAAAATGTGACATTCCGATAGCCTAGTCTCTGCAATTCTACAACTGCCATTCTCGAAGCTTCAACCTTTGCAAGCTCCGATGATTGAGTTGGAGGTAAAGACCCAGATCCACAAAACACCTGCCTAAAATCAGTATCTACCAAGTTCCATCCAATACCAATCTTATCATTTGCAGAGATCCAGGAAGCATCCACAAGACAACACTTTTGGCTAACCATTCGAAAAAGTTGGCTCAAAGTTTTTGGTTTATTAACAGATTCATTATTTACCTGAACCAACCTACAGTCTTGAGTTCCATTGTTTTGCTGCATCTCTAAAGCTTCCATCCACATTCGAAGATCCTGAAATGCTTTATTAATTATTAACGGTATTGGAAACCTCTTATGATTGAAAATTACTTCATTTAGGTGTTTCCATATACGCCAACCCAAGAAATAAAATATGATGGCTGATCAAAACTATCTTGAGTGGCAACAATGAAATCTGTATAATTCTGTATTAGATCATTGGATAACAACTTTGATGTATCGGGTTTCCCAACTGGTGCAAGCTCCCAAATCTCCTTACTCACTCGACATTGGAAAAGCATGTGATTTATAGACTCATCTTTTTCTCCACAGACAGCACAAGTACTATCTTTTATTACTCTCCTCTGCTTAAGTCTAACAGCCACAGGTAAAGCATCATGTAACACTCTCCACCAAAAATGCTTAAGCTTTGGAGGCAATTGAGAATTCCATAATGATTTAAATAAAGAGACTTGAGTTTGAGAGGATTGACCTCGTGATGTTCTTAAGTAGTTGTATCAAGATTTCACCGTATACAGCCCATTAGATGAATGAATCTATGAAGCTTTGTCTTGAGCACCTGTTATAGAGGGCCTCAAGGACTGTATCAGAGGAATGTCTAAAGGATGCATTAAAGATATCAGCTTATCATTATCCCAATTGGTGGTGCCTTGTATGAAAAGATCTTTAACCTTAAGTTCTTGATTAATATTAGCTTGTAGAGGGATTGGAGTACCTGAAGAGTTTGGAAGCCAATGATCTTTCCAAACATACATTGTCTCCCCATTGCCAATGTACCACTTGATCGCCTGTTTTAACAACCGATTGTCTTGAAGTATGCTTCTCCAAGCATAGCTTGAGGACCATTTCTGCTTGGCCTCTAGCAATGTTGTATTGGGGTAATACTTTGCTTTATAGACTTTAGCAACCAGAGATTCCGGATATTGAAGTAGTGTCCAACTCTTTGGAAAATGTAATGGCCGATTTATTGAAGTTAACTTCTGGATCCGAAGCATCTCTATACATCTTCAACAGAGCCAGCAGATTATTGCTTTCCTCAGGAGTAGCTCTCTCTTGAGCCTTTGTGAGAAGGTCTTATACACTCTTTTTTATAAAACCTTGTTGTAGTTCCTTTTAGATCTATATACATTTTATTACTAAAAAA